TACACTACTGTTACTACTAAATAACTGAAAAATATGTAAACTTCGATGGAAATTACTAGGTTTCAAACTATATTAAACTAAAATACAATTTAGTCAGTTAGGATTTAGCAGTGGTAGCTTGTGTAAGAATGATCGGGACTGCCTCTTGCTAAGAGCCTAAATATCCTCGATCACACAGGGCGTACCTCTAGCTGTTCTTTATTGAATAATTTTAACTAGAAGTACTAAGTGTTCATGACCACATGCCTAATTTGTAGATAGACACAATAACGTAAGTCACGTTAATACATTAGCAGATATAAATAAAGTTCCATCTGAAGAAAAGTTAAAAAAAGAAAAAGACTTATTGGATTTTGGAGATTGGCGGGAGGACCAAAATCTATAAGTAGTAGTTGGGAGATTATAAAATTTAGTTTATAATTTCCTACATCTACTAATGTCTCAAATAGGTCCAAGTAGATGAGTCATACCAAATACTCAGGCTATTGGAGCCATCAAAGTGAATTTAGAACACTTTGGAAATATTGGAAAAAGAGCTTGTATTAAATTATTTAAAATACAAATAAAAACCAATGTATTATCTCAATTGATCTTGATATTTTAGACTGACCGGAGGCCGTATTTCTACAATAGTGAGACTTGGTCCACCAAGCTTGAGGCTGTGTCTCCAAGCACTGAGTATAAAGACGTCGCCGATAAAGACAACCCCGCAATCCAAAAAATGTATGCCGACTATGTTGTCGATACAGAACTTGTCACTAAGACTTCTGTCGACAAGGACGAGACGCACTTTGGATTCATGACAGAGGAAGTTCAAGCAATTTTACCAGAGCTCGTGTTCGAAGATCTAAGTGGAGCGGCACTTGATGTGAAGTGAAACAGCATCACAGCGATGCTGGTGAAGCAGAACCAGGATCTGGTGAAACAGGTGGCTGCACACGAGAGTGCTATTGGTACACTGATTGAACGTATAAGTGTACTCGAGTCGAGGTAGAATTCATTATTGTTAACTCATTTGTAATATCTTCGACTAGTCTAAAATCTATTTGTGTGCACAGCAAAAAAAAAAGGTGATCCCTCATCATTCGGGGCTGGACCATCGTACCCTGTTTTAGATGCAGTTTTACGACAGATCACGCCTGACAGATGGGGGCTGTCGATTTTCAGTTTCAACAAATAATTAAGATAAAAGGCAACGAATAGTCCAAAGTTTGATTCACAATCTCCCCACAACAACAACAACAAGAACAACAACAACAACAACGTATATGGAGGGGATGCTTGAATCGCACTTTACTTGTGTCATCTATACCACAGTAACCCTAGGTGTCAAACAGTCTTCTTGCTGTGGAACGTCACTGTGTGCCAGCTTTGTGACCAAGACTAAGGGCGACTCATGTTGCAGGTGTCGCAATACGACGTTTGTCATGTTCAAGAACCGCGCCATACACGAGGTGCTCGAAACTTGTCGTCGGACGTGCGCAGAGTGCAAGGTTGAGCTCAACATTATTGCGTTCAAACGCCACCTGTGCCAGGCCCAACTCGACCAGCTGCCGACTATAAAACTGCCCGCCGATTATGAGTCCCTGCTGCGCGGTTCATCATACAAGTGTACGGTAACCAAGCCCCGTGAATCTCTTGATGGCGAGCAGATCTTCATTGGACAAGTGTCTGCCACTGTACACTCCACATGTGATGGCGATGGGGTGGCGATAGTGTATCTACAAGAAAACGAGAAGTACGCGAGACTATCTTTACACGCGGCCAATCATCTCGTGGTTGAGCGCCAGGAAGCCGAGAAAAAGGCTTGTGAGAACGTGCGACGGGCCGAGACCGCAGAATTGGAGTTCATGTTTGGTCCCTTGGATGATGATCGAGTGTTTGCATTTGAGAGTAGTGATGAGTCGGACATCGAGTCGGTAAGCTCCAGCGGTCTTCCATTTGTACCTCCTGCATTTGCAGTGTGGACCGCAATGACGGTCGCCAACATGAGTCACGAAGAGAGACAAATGTACAATTGCGTCCTGAACGATGATGCGCTGGCAGCGGTGCTTCCCAGACGCAGCCGCCGCACAGGTGTGAGATGGAAGTTGGTTGCAATCCATCGATGCCATTCAGATCGTCGACACTATATTGCACCGTTCCACGCTGACCATTTGCATGTACGCGTACTGTCGTCGCGCAATGTCAAGACGCGACGACAGTTGGTCCCCCAAGACTTTCTGTAAAAAGATATCATTTTTTTCCCAAACAATAACAAAAATAAAATAAAATAAACGACAGTTTGGTAAAAAAAGAAGGTAATTTTCAAAACGGTAAAAAAAGAAGGTGATTTTGAAAATGGTAAAAAAAGAAGGCGAATTCCGGTTTGGTGAATTTTTATGGTAAATCTGCCAAAAAAACAGTGTATTTGGTGGTTCATGTACTATCATTTTCTCAAGTACTACACTCAAATGTCAACTGCCTGACTTTTTTTCTTCAGGACATATCTGCACTTATCTCAAAGTGCTTTGCTTGTAAGTTCCTTATTAAGCAAATACAATCATTGCCTTTGTCTAAAACAAGCAACTTGACTCTCTAGTCCAATCTAAAACAGTCCTGTACACAATATTTGCATATATGTACACAACATGTTCAATCATTTCCATATGCACTATTGTTCATATTGTCTACACCTATCCAAAGCCAGCACACTTAAATATATCTTAAAGTCATGCACATAAACTGTATACTTGATACAAATTAAGTGTGCCATAGATTAGCTTAGACGTAAGCTGCATACTAAGTACATAACAAGTATGCCAGAGATACAATTCAGACAATTAAATATACATAAATATACATAGTTTCAATGCATGTCTGATGTCACATTCCGACAAATATTTGGCCTACCTCAAGAGTAGCCGAAATATGTAGAATTTGCTCCGAGCATCGATGTGCGTCTTACAGTACATATTTGGAGGAGTAATGTAATTATGATGTCACTATTTTAATATTTGCGTTTGTTTCGAATGTGATCGAGAAAAGTAGTCGTTGTATTTTATGACTATGTAAAGAAAACAAATTGTATGTTTTTGTTTCGTCAAAAAATAAATTTCCCCCCAAAATATATTTATATACATATCACCACTGCTGAGGGGTTGTCTTCCAATGGAAGACCTGCCACACAAAAGTACCCAAAATATAAATAAAATTATTAAAGCCAGAAACAAGCCAGCATAAATTAAGTCTTCCATTGGAAGACTTAATATAAAACCTAATATATATTTAAAAATTGTGTATCGACCCTTAAGATTATAGGAATTAGAAAGTCACTATTTCAATATTTGCGTTTGTTTCGAATGTGATCGAGAAAAATAGTCGTTGTATTTTATGACTATGTAAAGAAAACAATTTGTATGTTTTTGTTTCGTTAAAAAATAAATTTCCCCCCAAAATATATTTATATACATATCACCACTGCTGCGGGGTTGTCTTCCAATGGAAGACCTGCCACACAAAAGTACTCAAAGTATAAATAAAATTATTAAAGCCAGAAACAAGCCAGCATAAATTAAGTCTTCCATTGGAAGACTTAATATAAAACCTAATTTGTATTTAAAAATTGTGTATCGACCTTTAAGATGACCCTTAAGATTATAGGAAATTTTCCTAAATTTTGATATTTCCAGAATTTCAATCAGGAATTATTTAAAATATTCTGGGCGACTTTAAGAATTTCAACCCCTATTCGATTGTTTGTAATTTTGTGAATGTCTCGACATAAAATCTCATTTTATTTCAACAAATAAAAACAGCACGTGTGGATGTATTATAGCCTTTTAGTCACAGTGTATTAACATCGACACATTACATTTTAAAGTTCTTTTATTCAAACAAACGTCAAGCCCATGACTAATGCATGGTTTAAGCAATCCATATGTTGTATGCGTTGTGGTGAACCTGCTGTACCTGAAAATGAGGTATCAGTCTGCATCAAATGCAGACAAAAATGACGCAGTAAATGTCATCCATCGTGCGGTATAAGCGATGATTTCAACTACATTGGAGGTCCTAAAAACACGTGGTACGGCGTCAAGCGAGGCTGCTGCTTTGCCTTTAACAAGAAACATAAATGCCCTGGAGGTACATGTAATCTTATAACAAGGCGCCTGTTCGAGTAAAAAAGTTACAATTTATCTGTATCACAGCCAATGCTCATTACAATAATTGTTTTACTAAGATTGGCTCATTGCTATTTTGTTTATTCACTAAGACTGCTATCATCGTCATCGGTTACAGTTTCTGTAGCTAATTTTGTGCCGTTGAATTTTTTTTCATGATCTCCACCCTCTACTCGCACTACATTCAAAACTTTGTCTTTGCAGAATCGCTTGCAGACATTGCGATTGTTGAAAGCAGCTACTCGCTTTCGTATTTCTGCTTGAGTTATATTTCTCTTATATTCTGCCGTGTAGCATTCAGTACTCGCTGCTGTTCTTCTGATGCTCTAGCGCCTTCCACAAATCTCGTATGTGTAAGTTTTGGTCTATCAAGGCGATATTAACGCCTTAGAGTAATTGAACACTTAGGTTTAGTCTAAGTATAGTTAAATTCGAAATAAATAAACGAAATGAGTTATTTAGTAAAGTTAGGTATGCCTCGTGAAAACAGCAATACTCTGAGGGATTGTGAGGCTGAGACATTGCCTATATATAATCCTCTCAGTACTGTTTTCGTCGAAGGGATTTTATTTAGTGTTTCGTTGTCACTCTACTACGGTATGTTTCGTTGGGGCGAATCCGAGAGACTCATAAAATCCTATCTTTAGAAACATATATATATATATACTCTTGATGTCCATAGTTATTGCATTTACCAATAACTTACCACTTGTCAAGAATTACCGACTTAGTCTTCATCAGACTGGCACATCTGGTTGGCTGAACGGAGGATAAATTAAGCAACGCTAATAGTTCTTAGAAACCTATGTTTGGTTGAGCCATCTCGCTACCAAAGTATTCAGATATAAATAGATTTGGAAAGTAAATATAGTTCTATTAATAGAACTAGACCAAATCTTACGTTTGTTATTTTACTGGGGCCTTTTAATGGCCTTGTCCAAATATCTGATATGTAAAATGGAAAAGGAATTAATTAATAAAACCATTAAAAACCATTTAGGAAACTTAAGTTCATCGTACTATTAAGAGCACGTTTATAGTTTACGTACTGCTTAAGAGTACGTTTATAACATAGAGTCTAATGTGGAAGCCCGGATATTACATATGTGACTGTATAATAGTTTGATCATGCTCATTAAAAAAGGATGGACAAGGTGAACCATCGTAATGCTTTGTAATATGACATGCGAACAACTCTAGGGACTTTCACCAGAACCTGGTAAATTATATCATTCACAGTTGTATAAACTAGATATTCGTATTGTAGTTGAAAAAACATAGCTTGATGGATTATCTGCCCTCTGTATGCATATGAAACTGCTGCAAACCAGGTAGAATCGCCAACGTTGCAAGTAAAATATCTTCCATATTTCTTAGCTACCTTTGCGCACGCGGCAATAGGACTGTTTTCGGAGGATGGACACGGGCGATACCATCTATCTGTGCTACTTAAAAGAACATTCATCAATCGTGATTAAAAATGTATTAATAACACTTGTGTGTACAACAGCTATGCTATAATATTTGCGTGTAATGTACACATAAAATGTATCTTTACATTCATGTATCACTAAATAGACTTTAAACATACCCGATGGTACGCCAATTCAATTGCAGTCATTCATAACCACGAGTCCAATATCGTACAGTTCAAGCACATTTGTCGATCTAGACAGCAATGCCATGATATATGGCTCGTTCATTGTACCCATTTTCATTGCTTCAGTTGAAAAGTGACGACCGTCAAATCAGTATCGCTAACTTTCTCCTAAAACAAATAATTATTTAGATATATTCAACACTAATCATCTCTAGACAACACACGCTAATACTTTTATAATATACCTTTGAATTGCTGCATATCTGAATTTCATCATCTTCGGCATCTGTATCTGGGTTGGATGTTTCAGAATCTAGATCCTGATCAATCTTATCGTTATCTTCAACAATCTCACCGTCCTGAGAACAGTTATCTAAGTCATATTCCGATTGTTTGGTCCCATCGCTTATATCTCTTCCCTTGTTAGCTGTTGTACATCAAAACAGACAACTGTCAAAATTAACTCGTTTACTGTGTGTGAAGGATAACCAATTTGGATGCACGATGTAAAACATACCTGGGTAGTCCTCAAGCCTTCGCACTGCCACAGTATCGTGCAGTATTCCGCCATCTTCTTCGTCTAAATCCATGTCGGCTGAACTTGGAAGTGTTGTAGTAGACTTATTGGCTTGCTTTTTTTAGTGAGATACATCCGAACTGAAGTATCTTTCCTAGCTATGACTTGACTCACGGTTCCGGTGAAAACGAGTTGACAAACTCTAAACCAGTCACTGGATCATTGTCCAACTGTGATCGGCGTGATATGTTCGCAAAGTGCGTTCTCAACTGCTACTATCGCAGAAGGTCTTGCAATTCCAAGCTCGCTCGGCCAGAATAATATGAGATCTACAACTTTTTTCTTTGGACACGGTCGTTTCACAAGAACGTATGTTGATTTGAGATAATTCACTAATGGATAACCAATGCACGTGAATCTTAAGACATCACACGGTGTCTTATGGTTTTCCTTTTTGCGTGGCATTTGCGTAACCCCAAATGCTACTAGATTAACTTCACGTTCCCCCTCTTCATTGGAACATGTCTTCAATTTACAGCTCGCGGATACTATAGCGACACCCATACCTGGTAAATCCGGCAAATGGAATTGCACGGGTTATTTAAAGGCCGCGTCTGCACTTTTCGATCTACGGAAACTTCTTGTACATAGTACTATGTATGATTATGATACCATTTCTTCCTTTCTCTGCAATCTCTGTCCAAAGAGTTGCATCTCCGTATCCACGGTCTGCACACATTTGCGCTCTCCCAACTGTTCGACGATGAGTGTAAGCATATTGCATTCTTGAAAAGCAATCTTTCACCGCATACGTCTGCTTATAGTCACGCTCATGAAACCTCACTAGCAGAACAGCGAAGAAATTTGCACATGCAACTGCGTCCGATTTGAAGCCCCATGGCAACTTCGTCTTTGCTTTAGACTTTTTAGGAGTGTTTTTAGCACGCGAACCCGCTTGTTCATTATCAAGAGTGTATGTTCCTTTCTCAGTCATGAATAATCTGACACACTTCGTGAAAGCATCAGCTTCAAACTTCCTGACATTCTGTACCGTGTCCCATCTTGTTGGATGATCGACCGGGTGTAATCCAATCACATATTTTATAATATAATTGTATCTATCAATAGAGTAGACCACTTCTGTTGCATCTTCAAACTCTTTCGCCCACATCTTAATTATCCGAATGCACGACTCGTTTGTTAAAGCAAGCAAGCCGAACCCAATGTGCATAGATATGAACGACTTCAGTTCCCACTCCTCGACAGACGTCAATTTCCAATGTCAAAGGGTCCGACACCTTTTGTCGTTCGATACGTATCCCGGCGTTGATCCTTTGGAGTAACTTGGGTATGATGCCCTCAATAAGCCCAATTTACGGGTTTTTCTTGGAAAAAATATATCTGGCTTGGTAAGAACTGGCTTGGAATATAGGGTATAGAGTACAGGCGCCTGCCTCCTACTTTTTTTTTGGGGAAATGTTAGCAGAAATAAAAATCGATTTGAAATCGCCTATATAATATTTATATGTACAACCCGCTAGTCCGCCACTCGGCGCCGGCGGGCTGCAGGACAATATTTAAATATGTATTTACACCGCTATGTATTTACATATTTATGACCGAAGCAATGCCGTCAGAGACTCAAAAATACACAATTTTCAGACTCCGAGACTCAGTCACAGAGACTCCTCAATCACTCAGCGTCTCAGACTCTCATACTCTATTTATGTATTTAAAAAAAATAACAGTAAATACATACATATAAATAAATGACAGTCTCTACAATGGTTTGTTTTGTTTTTATTATTAAATACTCTGGGCCCCTGTGACCTGGGCCCTGGGAGGCTGGGCCCCTCTGCTGGGGGACGGCTGGGGGACGAGTCTGGTTTCTCTCAGAATAAATATAATCTCCGCTCCCCTGAATTTTATTACAAACGCGCAATCTTCCCCTGATGAGGTGCACAACAACGCATAACACATTGACAGTTTACGGATTTACGAAATCAGGTGCGTGGCAGAGGATTTACGTTGTGAGTGCCGATGTTGGATGTGTCTTATTAGGAACACAGTAAACTTCAAATCAAGCCAATAAAGACTGGACGCGTGCGCGTTTAGCAAGGCCGTTTGTGTTCGACATCTTTGCCTGCAATAAAGGAGACCATTCAACTAACAAGATCAAATAATATAGACTGAACATATACACATGTACATCTTATGTTTGAGTATAAAAACTTTAACAGAAAAAAAAAACGACATACTAGTACACACACGCACAATATATA